AGATCTCTCCATAGTCACAAATCGAACCAGCAAAAGCAGAATCTATTTTAATATATCCCAAATAGATCACTTGTGTAACACAATGGCAACATTTCTACAGTCGTATGTCCTATGTTTCTAAAACATTTGAATTTATTTGTATAACAGAATTCTATACATAAAACAATAGCCTCGTATGTACATTATTTGGTATCTGGAGGTTCACGGTCTTGATCTGTCTGGGTATAGAGATCCAGATCTGAGGCCAATTGTACCCTTAATAATTCAGTGACGTCAGTAGAAGTGTCTATATGCACGAGATTCTGGTAACAGCTGCGTTACCATAGATTGGTCAATATTTCAATTACGATGTTCCTAGTGAGTATACAGACGAGCGTGTAATAGATTCACTGTATAACGTAGAAAATCTTCTTCTAGTTGAATATTTATGTGCATATCTGTATCTTGCCTTAATTAGCATCATTTAAAATAGAAACATTACCATAATCATGGGAAATCTCTCCTAAAACCAGAGACGATTGTACAAATCCCACTGTATCATAGGATGTGTGATACCTTGACCTTCCGGTAACACCTACCGTGATAAAAGGTCAAGGTTATAAAGTAAAGTACAGCAAATGTGAAGCTGACGATATTTGACGCTGTGTCATATGCTTTACAATAAGGTCATAAAGTGTGTGATCATGAGGTTGAATTATTTTTTTTCTAAAACTAGCCAAACATTCTGGAATCTTATCTATTGTATATTGTAGTGGGTACTATATCTAAAATGCTTTTTGATGAAATATATCTCTACAGTTGACAGGGTTCCTTTCAATGAAGGGCAAGTATAATAGAACAAGACCACGGGAAAACCATAGTTTTCAATAACTCATTAAATACTCTTGGAAACAATGCCATGTTTCAAATATAGAACATGACACATATGTTACCATGACACCATCATCAGAGCCAGCTGTTTCGTTTTCAGCGACGTTTGAAAGTAATACCAGTTCATCACCAGTTTAGCCATCAGTAAAAATATTTAGATATCATCATTTCACATATAAAATATTGCATCATTTATGAAAATATTTGTAAAAAGACAAAAGTACTTTTACTGATTTATTATTTCTTCGTATTTTGTTTCCACACGCTAGCGTTGAAGAGTTGTTCAGTTTGTCTAGTCTGTGTCAAATTTGTTTGGACGACAGCAATCGTTATTTTTATTCCTACGTTTATTTCTCTCCACTAAAACTGGTAAGAGTAGTTCTAAATCTTTAAGCTTAGGCCTAGAGGTTAGAATGTTAGTTATGTTACGGTATTGCCAATGTGAAATATGAGTTGATTACATACTGCATGTTAAGAAGACAAGAAATATGCATTGCTATGCGTCGTAGGAATATCTTAAGCTATGACTTATGTGTAGATCTACAATTCCTGTACATGTTCGATTGATTGGAAAGGAACTGTGTCGCCATTTGCACTCATGAACCCTTGCACACGTTCCATGTTGTTCATTGTTTCGGTGAGTGTGTTGTTACGATAGGCTACAATGAATGGTCCCGATAGGCTACAGTTTATGATCCCTTGTATCCGAGCATGCTTTGGGAACCTTCTGATGGCGGCCTTCACGAATAATCGTGAATCTCCGACGCTTGTCTTTTCTTGAAGATGCCACCTCTTTTCTGACAGAATGCATTATGAAACATGTGTTTTGGTTCTGATTATTCCATAGTTGAGTGAATTGGAATAATCACATAGTAGCTTGGAGCTGGAAGTGGATCTTTATCGAATGAATAATCATGTTTATCTGTGAAAAATGTCATCTTCATCAATTCATCGAAGAGGCCAGGTGGCAAATCGATCTCACAAAAGACAGGCACTGACGTAATCGTGTCAGGTATTTTTTGCAAGACGACACATGACACTCGTCGAATCTCCAAGGTAAAAGTAGCCTACCAATGTTGTGCATTTTGAATATTCAGAGGGAAGCCCGGCCGTTATGTCTAACGACAATATTCACATAATTGTTTACACAGGTATCACTGACTGTTCGAGCCATTTTGAATCCATGACTATAGTCCTTTTGGCTAAAAAGCGGACCAATGAATTACAATCTAACTCGAAAACTAATAAACATGAAATACTCAATGAAACACTGATCATAATGAAAACGTCAGACCAACTCTGAGAGGTGTTTGCAGAATTTATGTCCTAAAAATAAAAAAAGTTGTTTAACAAACTATCATTAAAATATCGACACAGTTCACTATTTGTTACGAGGGAGGAGTGCAGAGAAAGGGACAGCCGGGAGTGCGAGAAAGGATGGAGACGGCACAGCACAGGTAAATGAATCAATAACATTGTCGGCACTTGTCCACGTGCTTCTCTAACACCTGGCTGTCCCTTTCTCTGCACTCCTCCCTCGTAACAAATACTGAACTGTGTCAATATTTTAATGATAGTTTGTAAACAACTTTTTTAATTTTAGGACATAAATTCTGCAAACAAATCACAGAGTTGGTCTGATATTTTGATTATGATCAGCGTTTCATTGAGTAGTATATGTTTATTAGTTTTTGAGTTAGATTGCAATTCATCGGTCCGCTTTTGAGCCAAACGCACAATAGAATCAAAAGTGTTTATTAAAGGAATAAGAAAAGACTAGATTCGTGTTATATTTATATTTATTCCAATTGTGTTTTATCGTATAAGTACATGTTTATGTTGCAATCGCGAAAATAACAGGTAGTTGTAAAGGTGTTTGGCACGAGTAACAGGTTTCTGTTCGATTGAAGCACGAGTAACTGATCAATGAATTGTAATCAGGAAAGTAGTCAGTCATACTCTGACCCTAGGTCATCACCATGTAGTAACCAAACATGGGCTTGGAAATAGATATTACACATATGTTTGATGCCAGTTTTCTCACATGGGTTTCTCACCCACGGGTGTGTAAGAAAATGTATTATCGTTTTTCCATATAAATTTTAAATTCTTTTATGATACAAGTTATCCAAGAATCAAACATTATTTGAAAAAACTATCATAGTTCGATTAATCGTCATTCAGTATTCGTTTCTTTATTTCACCCCGTTATACACGTGTCGGATTCCTATGGGGTAAATTACAAGAAAGAAAATCCCAAAGGTTAATGGCCAGACTCCAGAGGATCGCCAATATCACACGCACACACACACACACACACACACACACACGCACACACACACACGAGAGAGAGAGAGAGACACACACACACACACACACACAGACAGACAGACACACACACACACATACATATTACGTTTTAATCTTCCGGAGATGGACAGTTACATGAGCAGCACCGTTAGACGTGTGCTTTGTTCCCTGGTACCAGCACTCATATTTCCACAGACTACAGCCATACAATCCCCAAACTCTCGTTGGTTGTGAAATAACATTTTATCAACTGTAAGTAACATACGTTCGTGATTAGGAGATTATCAGATTAACATTCAATTAAATTGCACACTTTTCTCACGGTGTGATTGGAACGTACACAATCGCTACGTGACACCTACACAGACGTCACTGTTGCACCACCATACATGACATGACGTTAGGTCACCGGAAGTGATAAGTCCACCTTCCTTGAATGTTTATTTCGCTTCCAACTTTGCCGTCAGATACATGTAGCTCATCAATTACTGGATGAGTTTCATTTGCTATCACACATTTAACTTGTACCTATCATGTTCAATATTTGCACTCAGCCACATTACTAACTTGGTGAAAATGAAATTACTGGCACAATCCCATAGCCAACGTAACCGCAGTGAAGTGTACATCACCCACGAACATGTCTGCTTCAGTGTTGAGGTATACATGCATATAACATCGACTGTTTCAGTGTCTATTGTGCTTCTGTGTGTTATATGGATATATTTTGTGTGTAACACTGAATTGTATTACGGTCTTAAGTTTCAGTCGACGTTTATGACAATTGTTTGATGATGTGCAGACTACTGTGAAAAACCTGACCAATGTTGAAATGAGATTGTCTCACTGGTTTTACTGCTATCACTACTGCTATTTTGTTTGTTCTGCCATTGTAGATGTACTGCCTGTGAAGTACCCACTGCAAACATTCTGGTGATAATATATTATATCTATTGATTTTACACCACAATTTTTAATTGGCCAACGTTTCTTTGTTATTTGGTTTCGAACTGGATGTGGTTGTGTATAGATTTCTCAGGCAATCTGGAAATCGACGCTTAACACCGTGTATTATATTCTTCGGGGTATCTATCATGAAATGAACACAGAACAATACAGATAATAGACACTGGTACAGAAGCTATTGTTTGTATGACACTTCACGAATGGATGGAATTGTGTGGACCATCTCTGTTCAAAACATATTCTAGTTTCGCCACATTAAAATGCTTTCAAACGTTGATCTGTACAGCTCATTAATGACCAAAGCTGTCGGTAATGAGTAATGTACAAATAGACATAGATAAAGTGTTGACCAAGGAGATATGATTAGTTATGTTTTAGAAGAGTTCACGCCGTGTAAATCCAGATTGTCGCTTTTAATGATATATAATATACACTTTAAAACAAACTGCGAAAGATGTATGTTAATACCAAGTGTATTAGGTAACGTGTTGATAAATGTAGTGTTGACGGACGACAAACACACTATGCAACAACATTTTTGTTTGTTGGTTGGTTGATTTGTTGAATAACGCAGTCAAAATTATTCCAGCTATATGGCGGAGGTCTGGAACAGACAATCAAGTAATCAACATGATCAGCATCGATCTACGCAGTTGGGATACGATGACATATGTCAATCAAGTCAGCGAGCCTGACCACCGATCCCGTTAGTCGCCTTAAACGACCACTTCAATTCACGGGTTGGAAAACCTATCACTGGAACACAAGCTACAGTTCGCTCGTGCCTCATTCCTGACTTTGACACTTTGAAGAAAGGACGATCAATTATGTAATTGACTTTAGTTTTGTTATAGGTCTTCCTTTAAGCTGCCAGTTACGGAACAATCCAAACAGAGCAAGTCTCAGTTTGACACCCGTCACGAGGGCGGAAGTGTACGTAGCGGATGTTGTCTCTCTGCTCAGCTATCTTCAGTGGGCAACCATCACGGTTCTCCATGATACGGATTCAGGTTTGTTATTTGCAAATTATGCTTAAGATTTACTTATGGAAGACAATAGGAATCAAATGACACAATAGAGGCCACCCTTTAACTCCACATTTGGAGCTGATATAAACATGTTGTAAGTGGGCTAAAGTAAAATTTAACGATTTTAGACAATTGTGTTACTACCATTGTTACCATCTCATCCTGCGTAACACCCTACTTGTTGGTGTTGACTCAGGAACGTATGAACTCATGTACTTCCAGAAGCATTTGTCGATGACATACTATATCTTGCTGTTGAGAAACTGCGAGGAGTTCGTTACCTCATTCATAACGTGGAGCACATGGTGGAAGACAATGCTGATATACACACCCTGCTCCAGAGTTTACATACCAGCTTATACCCCCAGCCTAACATCCTCCTCGTCGGTCGGCCGGCCTTCATCCTCTCCATCACGTCCCAAGTAAGGCAGCACAACATACATGCAATCACAGACACATATAATGCGAGTGATTCCGTGGCACTGACATGCTCACCAAGCATTGTCTGTTGGGTTTGAAGAATGAGGCTGCAGATGTTGAGCTGATGAGCTGCTAATAGAATAGATAGAATAGATAATAGAGCGTGGCTTGTGCTGTATTTTTTGTGGTTTCTACGGTGTTTTTGGTTAATGAATAAGTATGATATCTGTGAAGTTCTTTTTTAGTTATTGACTTTAATATGTGGAATTAGGTCTGTACAATTTACACGGTACTATGAAGAATATATTTTTTATACCTCCACAAGTGACGACCAAACAATATCTTAAACATGTGTTGAATATGTTACAAACATCAATTGTACGTTATATGGAGCGGTCTTGCCAAATGTAGAAGTAAAACGTTATAATTTGTAACAACTATTGTCCTAATAACGTACTTCGTTCTAATGTGTAGGAGAGAGTTTCAGGAATTTCCGTACCAAACCCAACTAGTTTAAGAAGTTTTTCAATGACACCAGGTCAGTTCTCATGACGACCAATCAAATCGCACAACTGACTTTCGTCATCTGTCAAGATGGCTGCTCGTGACTGACCTTGACCGTCAGTTCTTGGATAGCCTGGTACACAACGTTGGTGACCTTGAGAATGTAGCTGCCGTGTACAGATCCGACGCAGGGTCAAGGGATGAGGTAAGATAAAACTGTACGTTACGTTAGCAAGTATTCACTTTTAACTAAATATAACTGTGTTGCCTTACAAATACGTATTGGTGATTGGTACCTATGACACATATTCAGAAACTGAGTTCACCCATTTGGTTCTGGCGGCTCAGCAATTTTGTACACATAAATATTAAAGAATTATGCTTAAAAATTATGGGAGGGGACGTGTGTCATTAACATGCAGGGGTGTGTGGGGTGTGGTGGTGGTGGTGGCACTTTCTTTGTACATAAACTTTGGGGGCATTCACATTGTACATGCTTCTCCTTAAAAATCACTATGTGTGTATACAGTGACACACACACAACAAAACAAACAACAAACAAACAAACAAACACACACACACACACACACACACACACACAACACACACACACAAACACACAAACACACAAAAACAAACAAACCACCACAGCCAGAAATTCTGAACGGTTCCTAGACAGGAATTAGGTCTTCAGAACGTGATTGCGAGGGGGAAGCTGGTGAGACAGGTAGTTTAACAGGGCCAACAGTCTAACACATAGGGGTAGGATGGTGTATAATCAAGGGTAGTAATTTGCATAAATCGGGGATTGGAATCCACAAACCGAATCACCGTGTGGCGTGTATTTGATGTATGAACCTGTGGCGTCTGACTGATGTATGACAGCAATGTTTTGCTTACAGTCTGTTAGTGAAGTGATGACAGCGATGTTCTCTTACAGTCTGTTAGTGAAGTGATGACAGCGATGTTCTGCTTACAGTCTGTTAGTGAAGTGATGACAGCGATGTTCTCTTACAGTCTGTTAGTGAAGTGATGACAGCGATGTTCTGCTTACAGTCTGTTAGTGAAGTGATGACAGCGATGTTCTGCTTACAGTCTGTTAGTGAAGTGATGACAGCGATGTTCTGCTTACAGTCTGTTAGTGAAGTGATGACAGCGATGTTCTGCTTACAGTCTGTTAGTGAAGTGATGACAGCGATGTTCTGCTTACAGTCTGTTAGTGAAGTGATGACAGCGATGTTCTGCTTACAGTCTGTTAGTGAAGTGATGACAGCGATGTTCTGCTTACAGTCTGTTAGTGAAGTGATGACAGCGATGTTCTGCTTACAGTCTGTTAGTGAAGTGATGACAGCGATGTTCTGCTTACAGTCTGTTAGTGAAGTGATGACAGCGATGTTCTGCTTACGGTCTGTTAGTGAAGTGATGACAGCGATGTTCTGCTTACAGTCTGTTAGTGAAGTGATGACAGCGATGTTCTGCTTACGGTCTGTTAGTGAAGTGATGACAGCGATGTTCTGCTTACGGTCTGTTAGTGAAGTGATGACAGCGATGTTCTGCTTACGGTCTGTTAGTGAAGTGATGACAGCGATGTTCTGCTTACGGTCTGTTAGTGAAGTGATGACAGCGATGTTCTGCTTTACGGTCTGTTAGTGAAGTGATGACAGCGATGTTCTGCTTACGGTCTGTTAGTGAAGTGATGACAGCGATGTTCTGCTTTACGGTCTGTTAGTGAAGTGATGACAGCGATGTTCTGCTTACGGTCTGTTAGTGAAGTGATGACAGCGATGTTCTGCTTACGGTCTGTTAGTGAAGTGATGACAGCGATGTTCTGCTTACGGTCTGTTAGTGAAGTGATGACAGCGATGTTCTGCTTACGGTCTGTTAGTGAAGTGATGACAGCGATGTTCTGCTTACGGTCTGTTAGTGAAGTGATGACAGCGATGTTCTGCTTTACGGTCTGTTAGTGAAGTGATGACAGCGATGTTCTGCTTACGGTCTGTTAGTGAAGTGATGACAGCGATGTTCTGCTTACGGTCTGTTAGTGAAGTGATGACAGCGATGTTCTGCTTACGGTCTGTTAGTGAAGTGATGACAGCGATGTTCTGCTTACGGTCTGTGAAGTGATGACAGCGATGTTCTGCTTACAGTCTGTTAGTGAAGTGATGACAGCGATGTTCTGCTTACGGTCTGTTAGTGAAGTGATGACAGCGATGTTCTGCTTACAGTCTGTTAGTGAAGTGATGACAGCGATGTTCTGCTTACAGTCTGTTAGTGAAGTGATGACAGCGATGTTCTGCTTACGGTCTGTTAGTGATGACAGTGACTGTTTTGACCTTGCAGGTGGGAAGTATACCGACCAACAACAGCATCAACATCCTCACCTACTCTCGGTCTTGTCCTCCAGATTTCATTCACGTCAAAATAACGCCACCTGTACTCAAGGGGAGATCACTCTTACTCGCAGTCTACCCTAATACGAAATACGGGTACAACAACAGAACTATACTTGTGTCCACGTTGATGGTAAATACATACTGTCTGTTAACACATTGTGCATTGACAGGGAGATACACTGCTCACTCACTCGTGTACTCTCGTGTCTCACCCTGTTATCACAGCCGAAACATTAGTAAACAATGTATTCCAAATAAAATTGTCGCAATACTTCCAAAAGTCTCACCAATAATGAAATACGAATGTCAATACGGAAGTCGTGATCCTGTTCTAATCAGAAGAAAACATATCTGGACATCCTACATTGTGTCTGTTGCTTCATCTGATCTCATCCGACAGATTTTGATTAGGGATATATATATATTTAAATATATACCACACGTTACACGTATTATCTGTCGCCATACATCTGTATTCCTGTTTTCGTATGTAATTGGAAACTAGTATCCCGGGTTGTTTGGGGGGGATAACTGTGTCTTCAATGACAGAAGTCCATCAGTGGGTCCACAACACTTTATTCTGGATTCAATATGTATACATACATGAAGTTACAACAATGAATAGGCGGCATGTCTCAGGCGATGGTCAGCCAACCTGCCTAGTCGCTGTCTCAGGGTCAAGTCTCGACTAACACAAAGCATTCTCAATTTATCCCTAAGAGTCTGATCACGTCACTGTCGCATTTACGACAGATGTGTGGTCAGCCTGCAGTATCCCGCACCTCATCCACAATGTCATGCTTCAGTGGCCAACCAGCCTTTGTCTAACTTTGATTATAGGCAGCTAATGACTCCATGATGGTGGCCATGATGACAATGATCAAGCTGTGTTGATTTCATTTCTATTGACAGCATGGCCATTACTTAGAGAGATATCCAATTTACATAACTCAAGGAATATCATAAATATCCCTGATAAACACTGTTCCAAAGTGCCTACGATACTAGTATATTAATATTCTATGTGTACTACATATATGTTCTGACGTGACACTCTGCATTATATGTTATGTTGTATGGAAGCCGTATTCATATAAGCTGTAACACCTTGTTCACCAATCCCTGTCCATTCATTGACATAAATATGTTTAATTCAATTATATTGTACACGTAGAAAGAGTATCGCAACACCTATGACTTTTAAACTCCATATACCAATCTAATTACATTCATATAATAAGTATGTTTGTATGGTTAGTTTGACCGTTCAGGTGCCCGATACATTGATTTTAAATATCCACGTGCAGCCATCATGTCAAACACGTGTACCCGTCATTAAGCAAATATATGTCCAGTTTCGATATTTACAGCTCGAGAACTCGGAAAATACATTGATTTCATTGTTGATACGCAAATGTGGGACCTCCTCACCTGACAACTGTTCAAAGATGGCAAGTAATTGGTATGCGGGATGCTGGCATGTTAATGAAGCTTATTGCACGAGATATTGGCTGGTAAAGTCGGCCAGAAAGAGCCCAGATCTCAATCCGATATAGATTGTTTGGGACATTATGGGTCGCGGGATACGCCAGAGAAATCCTCCAGTACAAAACCTTGATGTATTTGGAAAGCCCTCTATAAAGAATTTAACGCAACAGCTCAACGTCAGATTCAGAATACAGTAAGTGAGTAGGAGAGAAAGGGCTGTTCTGGCAGCTGGCAGAGGTTACCCCCGATATTGACATTGTGCTCGATGGTTGATACTTGTGTGATTTCTTGAGGATTTATTGCCAGACTCTTGACAATGACCGCACCTGGTATCATCATACGACCATAGTTACCAGCCATAGTTACGACCATTTCTGCGTTTAGATTTACCATTTACTTATTCATTGAGGGTTCATTGATCCAGACAGTTAAATTGAGGTTTGGATAAGTTCCTTTGTCTGGTTAATGGTAACACATTAACGCTATGAAAAATATGGGTACTTTCTTCCATTGTATATATATTATATGTATTTCTAGCCTCATGAATCATACACCACACGTCATGCCACATGTTATTCAATCCGGGTTCCTTCTCAGGCGGATGCAGCCCGACAGATGCTCTTGCTCCAGACTAATGTTTGAGCAAGATGACCTCAAATAGAAATTGTCAGCTGAACTTGTTCCACTTAGCAAACTCATGGGATGTTGGCATCTAGTTTTCCTGGAGTCATTGTTAGTAGACATATCCATAGCGAATACATATTAAATATATATTAACGTCGGTCTCTTTTAACATATAAATTAAGTTTCGGGCCCAATATGTGTAACACCACCCTTTCTGTTCTCGTGTGGTTTCTCTCATGTATTGATGGATTTCACCGAATGTCGTTCTTATAAGAATATGTTTTTATGTGTTTAGACAAAGATGAATGATATTAATGCTCAAATTTGGCATGGTTAAATGTTTCAAATTGGCATGATTAAATGATGCCGTGACCTTTAAATATGTATTAAATATACAATCGTACTACCATAGACCCAATTAACACTCTCAAACCTTACATCGCCTGACGTCTGGTAGACCAGTGATGCGATGACCAGGAGAGCTATGACAATACAGATTAAAGGCTACCTGTGTACAACTATTTCTGATCTAACCAGTGTAATTGTCTCCACATTGCAGTACGCCCCCTTTACCATGAGAAGACAAGAGAGAGGAGAAGTCATCTACGAAGGATACTGTTTTGAACTTCTCAATGTTTTAGCCAAGGATCTGAATTTCAGGTAATGCTGTAGTAGAAGTGAATTAAATGTTTAATAGAAAGTGTTGGCGAACAATGATGTAACGTGTGGGATCTGTTAGTATATAATCCATGCTGCATATCCATGCTTGGAGTGAGTGAGTGAGTGGGTTGGGTTCAACAATATTCCAGTTATACCTCAGCGTGCCTTCTGAATGAGTGAGTGAGTGAGTTAGATTCAGTTATACCATAGCGTACCTGTTGAATACGAGAGTGAGTAAAATGAGTGAGTGAGTGAGTCGGGCTCAGTTCTACGACACCGTGTCTGGTGAATGTGGGAGGCAAGCCCGGTGTTACCAAAGTCTTTCTTGAGGGTCAACATGAGGTCTTTCGTTCATGGTTTGACAAGTTCTAGAAATATTATCATGACGAAAAACGCTGAACCATTGTATTACTCAAAAAAAGCTTATTACATCCCAGAATTAGATAATATGAACTTCGTACCACTTGGAATGAAAGGATTCCTCAGTAACGGTATGGTATTGTCTAAATGACTGTCCTTCCAACCACACTTTCGGCATGGCGAAATTTGACCTACTTCCGTTTCTCCTCACCGTCTCGGACTGCCACAAACAAGAAATACCTCTAGTGTGTCTTGAAATTTGATGTAGCCCCCAAAAAGTTGAGATACCTCTTATTTTAAAAAATAAAAATAAACCTGAGGTATCTAATGTCCAACAGAACTTTATCGAATATTCAAAACCAGTAGGTGTATCGCCATTCTAAGTTGACCAAGGGATGGTTTGGTAACCGTTGTCTTCAGGGACCTCATTACCCATGGTTGCACAAGGCAACGATCTTAGAATGTTCCGGGTGAGTGAGTGAGAGTGAGAGTGAGTGAGTGAGTGAGTGAGTGAGTGAGTGAGAGTGAGAGTGAGAGTGAGTGAGTGAGTGAGAGAGAGAATGAATTGTTTATTAGCGTGTTAACAGTTACAAAGACATCCATGGCATCTAGACAGATAACCCACCCATAGTATAACATACGGCCAACTTTGACCTATGGGACACTGTAAAATCCATAACACATCCACATGATATCAGTAATACAATATGTATAGACGTTACTCAAGTTCAAGACTATTTACATACCGGTATATTCTTGACTAATCTAAGTTAATGATTACAAAACATCAAGTGTTTCAGGAAGAATTGATGAAAGAACACTCCATGGAAATGTTTCATTTTATGGTATATTTGCATATTTGCACAGGTTTGACTTATTTATCAACATGGTATTTCCCATTGCAGCGGTGACAGGCAGGGCAAATAGTTGAATCAGGGGATTATATGTATCTTTCAGCTGTATTTGTATTTAGCAGCTGATTTGAAATGTCTGACCAACAGTGACGCATATTATTGTTGATAATCTCGTCACTCTGAACTCCGACCAGGCTGAACTTGAGTTACTTCCCTTATCTTCGCTGTCCACTTCTTTCAAAATATTTGTTCTCGTTGACAGTAACAACGCTTTACCAATTGGAAGAATACAGTCCAAGTTAAGTGCAACGGTGTGTGGGGAAATGAGACTAAGGACACACTCGGTGCTCGTATCGTGTCTGAATAACTGTGTTAGTGACAGAGAACGACACACACCAAAAAGGACTTTCATTATGGTTACTAGAAATACAACAAATGATAACAAATGATAACAGTTTGATGACGGTTTACGTTCGGATTAAATATCTTCTCTGAGTTATTTTAATTACATCTGTCATTAACGTAAACCATATGGGGCAATATGAACGTTGCATTTCTACTACCAGCGTAAGTTTAGATCAGTACATCGAGAGGAAGTTGAGTAGTCAAGCGACATTCCACAATTGCATTGTGGGAATGTAAACATTACGAACGTTACCGTGTCGCTGAAAACTTGTGAGTCGAAATGACACATTTTAACCGTCGTAAAACATAAACGTAATGTTTCCACCAGTGATGTTAGCTGCGTGAAGCAACAGCAAACCAAGAAACTGGATGCAACGGTGTAGTTTACTGTAGGAGGCCGTACGAGGCGATGACAACTGACATGCATCGTGACGTCGCTTACATTGTGACGTAATGTAAAATGGTTCGATTACGAGGGGGCACACTAGAATGGCGCAGTGACGGGATAACGTCATTCAATTGTTACGTCATCAAAAAACTATACCTTTATTGTCTGATAATGTATTTTTTTTCCGATTGTTCTAACCGCTAGGCATCTTAGAATGTTCGATGTGTTGTGGTTCTGATATCGAACGTATACAGTATTCTAGAGGGTTATCGGCAGTCACTGTTATATGTACCTATGTCTATTGGTCGATGTTGTTGTTAGGGTAACAAGGCTAAGTTAGAAAGGCTACGTAGCCTCGACTGCCTCATGTAGAATATACTGACGTGCAGAAGAAAGGTCGCTCCTGGTGTTTGGGGATTATTTTCGAGGCAAAGTAAATATTTTGTAAAGTGTTCTGATATTGACTTACAAGTTACTACCACAGATATCCCTTACAACTGTGTGAGTGGCATAATTAATCCTAATCGGTGTCAAGTTTGCCATACACTGGATACATTGGATCTAAGTAGAGGGAATTAATGCTGGCTAATTACGGTCTGTCTCCTGAAGGGCGAAAAGAGGGTTTACACTTCAAGACTATTCTAGACTTTAAGTGGTTTGGTATATGTGTAACGGGGATGGCTCTGACTCAACAACACAACTCCGTTGAGGCTGTAGTTCCGGTTTATTACTGTAGTTTGTATCAATACAAGTCTGAAACAATGTATATGAATATAGAATTCTCCATCAAAATATCTAATATCACATTCGTTTCATTGCACATTGTTCAGATAATTAACAATTGCAGTACTACCACTGAACATATAACAAGAACTCAAAACAAATAGACACCACAAAATCAATGGTTCAGTTACATATTGAGATTATTAGAAGTGCAATTATGGAACACATTTGGCATCTTCAAAACAACAATGAAACATCAACGTGTCTAACCATCTCTGGGGCAACTTGTTTCAAACTGGCCACATGTTGTGAGGCACCAACAAAACACCAACCAAGGACCTAAAATTGGTATGTTTTAACTAACATGGAAATGCTAATTCTCACCAGTAAAGTAAAGTACAATCTGTTTGGACTCAAACATTAATCTGAATCAATTGTAAGTGAAATTATTGACACCAACAACTTCTAATCATAAGTCAAAGTATACCTTCACCAAATGCATAAATTCAGCTACAATAAATACTGAATGAACCTTTCAACGGTTAAGCATATTTTTGTGGTTTATTCCTTTTACATAAAACCAAGTGTAACTAACCTGTAATTCACCAAAGTCAAAATCATCAATCCATGACTTTCCAACCACTTTGCCAGGTTGGGAGAAAGACAGCAAGTGAACAAACTTCACACTTTCCAAATGCAACTAAATTCAACATCCAATCAACATGCGGCACATCTTCAGCCAATGAAAACCAAGGACAAGACATCAGACCTGACCTCCTTAAGACTTGGCTAATTTGCATAGGAACTACTTTTGACCCTTGACCCAGTGGTGACTATAAATAAATCATGCACTTGTGAAAATGTAAACCTTTTCACTGACAATTGTATTATTGTTTAAGGTGTTATAAATTAACCCCAAACAGGAACAGAAGACAAAACATATTAAAACAGATTGCTTTTCCAGAACCTTTTACAATGTGTATAGTTTGTACTGGTTACACACTTGTATTTGTTACACATTTGTTTTGTACTTGTTACATATGTACCAGCACAAGTACACTAGATATAATAGAAACAGAGTATAGTTTGTGGGTGGTACATGATCATCTACTGACATGGTTTCGTTAACTTACACAACGAATAGATCAGAGACAGGAATCTAGAAAATGCGTAAGTATCTGCTCCGAAACGATGTGTTCCCCAATAAGGTAGACATCACCAGACCCTCTCCCTTCCAGAATATACTAGGACTACCAGATAGGATGTTAGGAAAACTGAAGTAACTTCATTGTGTGAAGCGGTAATGAACATCGTTAAGCTTGGATGATTCTGTCTGTACTCCGGCACTCAAGCTACTCTGGGCTTAAATCGGTCTGTCTACAAATCGGGACCAACAACGTTCTGGTATTGAACGTATACGGTTGTTACATACATGTGCAGGTTCTCGATAGACCAATGTTGTCATGGGCGGTACTTGTCTCTGAAGAGGCATGTTAAGTTTGAGGTATTGAATGGAATTAGATACCTGAGTGTAGCTTTAGTTTACCCAATCAGTCTTAGAGATGCAGTGAAGCGACAGCGTCCTCAGGGTTTGTATGTGCCAGTTACGATGTGTTTTAAAAATTAAACATACAACTTTATCGATGACAACTTCTTATTTATTGATGTATCTTATATTACAGTGTTCAGCTTGTGGAACCCGCGGACGGTGAATGGGGCCTCCTGGTAGACGGCAAGTGGACGGGCTTGATTGGTCAACTACAGCAGAGGGTAGGAGGACGGGCGTCAGAGTAGTAACTGCTATTTTCATGAAGACAAAATGCGCTTGAAACCTTGTTCACATCCAAAGCCTTTGATAATAACGATATTATTGACGAATTTCTCGCTTTATCGTTATGAACTGTTTTAAAATTGAAGAAAATCACACAACATCGAGAGAGTATTTGAACATAAGAATTAACGTTAATGCCAGAGAAAACCAGTCTCTAGCGAATCGAAATTTATGTGAGTTGTGGGTGCAACCGGTAAAACAGCACATGCTTGCTTTCCGATGCTGGATGAGTTAATGTATGTACATAGAGTGAGTGTGATATCGGTGTACCTGCAGGACGTGGATATGGTGGTGGCGCCCCTCACAATACACGAGGACAGGGAGAAAGTCATGGATTTCCTACTGCCCCCCTTCTACACGGAGAATGTTGACATCTTGTATAAATTTGAGGACGTGAGCGAATCGGACATCTTGGTCACCGTCAAACCCTTCAAGTACATGGTGCTGGTGTGTCTGGCCGCTGCCGTTGTCGTCGTCTTCATTATGATTTTCTGCATAGAACAATTCTCCCTGTATATGGCTCATGAAAGCAGAAAGACCGATACGAGGCCGAAATCTCCAATTTCACAACAGTCTTCCAGATTGATGTCTTCATTTTGCTCTGCACTCTGCTTTGGTGACGATCCAGTAGAGCACTTGCAGTTGATCTTCTGGAGAGTATTTGGATCTGTGTTTAAGCAGGGTAAGGTTTGACGTTTATTTGTAAACCTGATCTTTTTGAGAGTATTTGGATCTGTGTTTAGACAAGTTGTTTGTTTCTGTCCGTGTGCCTACCAAATGGATGTGATTACATAGGAACAGACCAAGTGTTGTTGTTGTGAAATGGACAATGGGCTCACTTGTTTTAATGAGACATGTACAGTGGTGTTTAATGAGACATGTACAGTGGTGTTTAATGAGGTGTTTAATGAGACATGTACAGTGGTGTTTAATGAGACATGTACAGTGGTGTTTTAATGAGACATGTACAGTGGTGTTTAATGAGACATGTACAGTGGTGTTCTGGTCGCGGTGACCAAGCAATCAATCACATTTTCTCATAGTCGAACACAAACGATTATGGAACTGCTGTTTCAGCGTCTGAAACACTTGACGATGGAACATATCTTCTACGCTGCCAGGGCCCAGAAACGTGTTTAATTCTTAGAAAACTCACTTCACCTACTGAAAAGTCATGACAGAATATTTCTTGAAGACACCAGGAAGTTGATGATATATTAGTCATTACTTTAAGTAGGAAGTTGCATCATTTTTACATTGGATGTGAAGTTTGCAAATGCAATTTGCGCAGAGAGGAAAATCTGAAAAATTTAAAAATGACGTAACCAATTTTGTGATGATTGCTCGTTGTATAGAAAGAACCAATCATCAATTGTGATATTTCAACCGATTCCCAACACCAGAGACATGTACACGATGTTTGTCATAATGTTTAGTTGGTGGAGTTCTTCCTCCACATAATCATGTTTTAAGTACTAACTTGATGGTTTCCCCGTCAGGCGACCCGTGGACGTCCGAGACGACTCCAGGCCGCATCCTGATGACGTCTTGGTGGTTGCTGACGGTGGTGCTAGCGGCAGGATACAGCGCCTACCTTGTGGCGATCTTCACCGTCGATATCCGCGTCAAGCCGTTTTCATCGCTACAGGACGTTGTAGATTCCCCCGACTACAAGATTGGCATCATGTCCACTGGCATCATCAAACTCATCTTTGAGGTAATACATTGTCCCTATACATGACGCCCAGTCGACCGTTTAGAAACTGTAGAGCTGCTCTATCATAATGATAAAACTCAAATACCTTTACATGCAAGATCCACATGGTCGTCTCCTTGGTATAGTGGATCCAGTACACACAGCCGGACACGTGCATTCACTCTGTTTAACTAGTGAAATACTCTTGGACGCTACCTTCAGACCCGTTTTACCTCACCTTACAATTTCTAACCTCACCTGTGTTAACTGTTTAATAAGCCATATTGTGTCCATACAGTTGCCTCACAAACCCTTCCGTTTGCATGCAGTGATATCGCCACAGGTGTTGAAAGTGTGATGACAGATTTTAAATTTTATTCTGTCAGTTGAAGAGGTTACTTGTGTAATATTGTCTAGTTTAAACGTGTTGTTTAATGTTGTTTTAATTTCAGCTTGAATCCCGATTTAGTGCTACAATCCATATCAACTGTCATGATATTGAATACTCCCATTCATGGTCTCATAGTGGAGTGGGTGTCTCTTTCGATTCCACAAAATGGTGAATATTTGATGCCATGAATATTTCATTTTTCAGAAATCCAACCAGGATGACTTCAAAGATGCATGGCAAAAGGTTGTTCAAGCCAACAAAACAGATTCCCGAGTGTTGGCCGGAAGTGAGGCCGAGCACCTCCAGCACGTGCTTGGTGGCAAGTACTGTTGGATTGTTGACGTCACCACTGCCGAGAAGGCGCAGGCAACCGACTGTTCTCTCGAGACGGTGGGGGTTAGACTTAATGGCCAGAATCTCGCTCTGGCTGTTCCGACAAACTCCCCTCTGAAAGCAGCAGTGGAGAACACGTAAGGGTGGTTCATCTTATCTTAGTCATTTGTCTGTGATATGGATATATACTGAGTCAAAAAAGAAACTTCACATTCTTTCTTCAGGGCACTATAAAAGAACAAGAGATGGTAAGATGGTTAAATTGTTATTATTTCATTGCTGAGATATGTGTGATGTACTCGATACACTGACAGTGCCATAATCAGTTCCATTAGGCTACACCGACGTTCCAAAACATGGGTATACAGAATGTCAAGTCACAAGAATAAAAATGGGAAATTTCTCAGTTCAATATCGTGTATAGCCGCCACGCGCATTCACCATTGCCAAACACCGTCTCCTCATCGACTGCCTGATGCTTGTGAGCACGTGGTTGGGGATTCTGCGCCATTGCTCTTGCAAGGCAGCGCCAAGTTCCTGCAAATTCTGAGGTTGGTTCCTAAGACCACGAAGCCTTCTCCCAAGTGCATCCCAAACGTGCTCTATTGGATTAAGGTCAGGGGACCTCGATGGCCAGTCCATGACGTTGATTCCAGCGTTTTGAAGGAAATTTCGTGTCAACATCGCGGTATGCGGCCGAGCATTATCATGCTGGAACTGTAGACCTGGGCCATGAGCCGCCATGAAAGGAACGAGTTCAGGGGTGAGCACCTGGTCGCGGTAAGCAGCAGCTGTGAGGTTTCCACGGATGACCAGAAGTCGGGAACGGTTGTTCCCACAGAAAGCACCCCACACCATGCAACTTCCGCCCCCGAATCTGTCGACTTCCTGTACACAACACTGGGCATACCGTTCACGACGTCGTCTCCAGACTCTATGCCTGCCGTCCGCGAATCTGAGGGTAAACCTGGATTCATCGCTAAAGACGACTCGATTCCAGTCTCTCTGGGTCCATCGGAGGTGACGTTGGGCCCACAGCAGACGTTGACGGTGATGAAACGGCGTCAATATTGGCCCACAATATGGACGTCGAGAATGGAGATTGGCAGCCCGCAACCGATTTCGAATGGTCTGTGAGGACAGTCGACCTCTAAACATCTCAGCCCTGGTTCGTGTAGCCGGCAGAAATCTGTCACGTAGGTGACGTAGGACGATTTGACGGTCTTCTGCTCGTGACGTCACACGTGGACGACCCGACCTTGGGCGATCAGAAGTGGTGCCAGTTTGTTGTAGACGACCTCGCAAGTCATACACAGTACGACGGCTGCATCCCATTGCTCTTGCGACGTCAATAACTGATCTTCCCTCTTGCAACTTGCCAACGGCACGTTCACGTTGCACATTTGACAATCGTGGCATTTCAAGTACCGTTAGAACTGTGGTTTAAAAGTGTTTTTTCAATTCTTGAGGCCAATGCAAACACGTGTATATGAAGAACACTTCTATGCGAAGATCACGTGATCGACTGCACGTGCAAAACCTGATTTGGCACTAACGTCATTTGCACGACGAATGGATGGGTTTGAGTGGGTTTTGCTAACGTTTTTCTAGAGTCGAAAGATAGTGAGCCCATTTCGGATACATAGATGTATCATCAGAAAAAAAATATTCATTATTTTTCAAATTACATTTTGTGAAGTTTCTTTTTTGACTCAGTATATATACTGTTTATATCATATACTAAATTAGGCACTATAGTGACCATATACTTTAAGTACAAATGCCTCACAGGGTCTCCAGTAGCTGGAGACAAAAAAGAATTTCGAAATGATCTTTAACACTGATATCAAACTCTGGCCACATGTGCACACAGCCTTTTCCCTATCATTACAAAGTTGACATGGCTGGCAAAGTGATGCTGAATCTGTCCTATTGAATCTGTCATTCTGAATCATGTCGAATCTTGCTATATATAGTAGTATTTAGTATTGTTGTGATAATAGTCTACCCTTTTGGGACACAAACGCATTTAGATATTTTATTGCATCTATGCAAATCCAAAGCACATTGGTCACTAACTGAGATCATGACAATTTTTAACATAAACCTGTCATCTGACGTCCGACACAGTTGGAATGCTTTGCCGGTTGTTGAGGCATGTGTCTACCCGAAAATGCATCGACAGAAAGGACGCCTTTATGCTAAGATACAAATATATGTCAGGTATAACTGTCCTCGTCCTGTTTAATGTTTCTCTGAGGAGCTATTCAGACATGCAAGTGATACCGTTAGATTGAAAGCGGTAATAACGTTCTCGTGACGTTTTGGACTTCTTGATGTTACATCTTGCTATGAGAACACAGACTGGATGTTGCCCAAGGTGTTTTCGAAACCGAATTGCCGAGTACCTTGGTGTTTTACAACATGGCGTCAGTCAAGAAACAAATCATCTCGAAAAGACTCGAATAACCATCTTGTTTCTCACATAGTTGTACAGGTAGCTGTTCTTGTAAACTGCCGAGTCTAAACATTTCTCAAACGAACACGTCTGGCACGTTAGTAAATAAGCAGACGCATTTTATTCACTTCCCCTCACACTGCTGCCGATCGCCATAACATTTGACCGCGGCTTAACTTGATATTTTACTAGCTCTTCAATATTCTGCGGCAACTGAAAATGACTGCAACTACATTTACAGCAGCTTCTACGGCCACAAAACACCACCCCGGTTGACATTTGTCAGGAGATTATAGATGTATTCAGGTGTATTGTCGGAAGAATGTGGTTTATATATGTCAAAGTGCACTGTCAGTACTATATAATATTGATGTGTCCAGGTGTATTGTCGGAAGAATGTGGTTTATATATGTCAAAGTGCACTGTCAGTACTATATAATATTGATGTGTCCAGGTGTATTGTCGGAAGAATGTGGTATATATGTGTCAAAGTGCACTGTCAGTACTATATAATATTGATGTGTCCAGGTGTATTGTCGGAAGAATGTGGTATATATATGTCAAAGTGCACTGTCAGTACTATATAATATTGATGTGTCCAGGTGTATTGTCGGAAGAATGTGGTATACATTGTATATGTGTCAAAGTGCACTGTCAGTACTATATAATATTGATGTGTCCAGGTGTATTGTCGGAAGAATGTGGTATATATGTGTCAAAGTGCACTGTCAGTACTATATAATATTGATGTGTCCAGGTGTATTGTCGGAAGAATGTGGTATATATGTGTCAAAGTGCACTGTCAGTACTATATAATATTGATGTGTCCAGGTGTATTGTCGGAAGAATGTGGTATATATGTGTCAAAGTGCACTGTCAGTACTATATAATATTGATGTGTCCAGGTGTATTGTCGGAAGAATGTGGTATATATATGTCAAAGTGCACTGTCAGTACTATATAATATTGATGTGTCCAGGTGTATTGTCGGAAGAATGTGGTATATATGTGTCAAAGTGCACTGTCAGTACTATATAATATTGATGTGTCCAGGTGTATTGTCGGAAGAATGTGGTATATATATGTCAAAGTGCACTGTCAGTACTATATAATATTGATGTGTCCAGGTGTATTGTCGGAAGAATGTGGTATATATGTGTCAAAGTGCACTGTCAGTACTATATAATATTGATGTGTCCAGGTGTATTGTCGGAAGAATGTGGTATATATGTGTCAAAGTGCACTGTCAGTACTATATAATATTGATGTGTCCAGGTGTATTGTCGGAAGAATGTGGTATATATATAATATTGTGTCAAAGTGCACTGTCAGTACTATATATAATATTGATGTGTCCAGGTGTATTGTCGGAAGAATGTGGTATATATGTGTCAAAGTGCACTGTCAGTACTATATAATATTGATGTGTCCAGGTGTATTGTCGGAAGAATGTGGTATATATGTGTCAAAGTGCACTGTCAGTACTATATAATATTGATGTGTCCAGGTGTATTGTCGGAAGAATGTGGTATATATATGTCAAAGTGCACTGTCAGTACTATATAATATTGATGTGTCAGGTGTATTGTCGGAAGAATGTGGTATATATGTGTCAAAGTGCACTGTCAGTACTATATAATATTGATGTGTCCAGGTGTATTGTCGGAAGAATGTGGTATATATGTGTCAAAGTGCACTGTCAGTACTATATAATATTGATGTGTCCAGGTGTATTGTCGGAAGAATGTGGTATATATGTGTCAAAGTGCACTGTCAGTACTATATAATATTGATGTGTCCAGGTGTATTGTCGGAAGAATGTGGTATATATGTGTCAAAGTGCACTGTCAGTACTATATAATATTGATGTGTCCAGGTGTATTGTCGGAAGAATGTGGTATATATGTGTCAAAGTGCACTGTCAGTACTATATAATATTGATGTGTCCAGGTGTATTGTCGGAAGAATGTGGTATATATGTGTCAAAGTGCACTGTCAGTACTATATAATATTGATGTGTCCAGGTGTATTGTCGGAAGAATGTGGTATATATGTGTCAAAGTGCACTGTCAGTACTATATAATATTGATGTGTCCAGGTGTATTGTCGGAAGAATGTGGTATATATGTGTCAAAGTGCACTGTCAGTACTATATAATATTGATGTGTCCAGGTGTATTGTCGGAAGAATGTGGTATATATGTGTCAAAGTGCACTGTCAGTACTATATAATATTGATGTGTCCAGGTGTATTGTCGGAAGAATGTGGTATATATATGTCAAAGTGCACTGTCAGTACTATATAATATTGATGTGTCCAGGTGTATTGTCGGAAGAATGTGGTATATATGTGTCAAAGTGCACTGTCAGTACTATATAATATTGATGTGTCCAGGTGTATTGTCGGAAGAATGTGGTATATATGTGTCAAAGTGCACTGTCAGTACTATATAATATTGATGTGTCCAGGTGTATTGTCGGAAGAATGTGGTATATATGTGTCAAAGTGCACTGTCAGTACTATATAATATTGATGTGTCCAGGTGTATTGTCGGAAGAATGTGGTATATATGTGTCAAAGTGCACTGTCAGTACTATATAATATTGATGTGTCCAGGTGTATTGTCGGAAGAATGTGGTATATATGTGTCAAAGTGCACTGTCAGTACTATATAATATTGATGTGTCCAGGTGTATTGTCGGAAGAATGTGGTATATATATGTCAAAGTGCACTGTCAGTACTATATAATATTGATGTGTCCAGGTGTATTGTCGGAAGAATGTGGTATATATATGTCAAAAGTGCACTGTCAGTACTATATAATATTGATGTGTCCAGGTGTATTGTCGGAAGAATGTGGTATATATGTGTCAAAGTGCACTGTCAGTACTATATAATATTGATGTGTCCAGGTGTATTGTCGGAAGAATGTGGTATATATATATGTCAAAGTGCACTGTCAGTACTATATAATATTGATGTGTCCAGGTGTATTGTCGGAAGAATGTGGTATATATGTGTCAAAGTGCACTGTCAGTACTATATAATATTGATGTGTCCAGGTGTATTGTCGGAAGAATGTGGTATATATGTGTCAAAGTGCACTGTCAGTACTATATAATATTGATGTGTCCAGGTGTATTGTCGGAAGAATGTGGTATATATGTGTCAAAGTGCACTGTCAGTACTATATAATATTGATGTGTCCAGGTGTATTGTCGGAAGAATGTGGTATATATGTGTCAAAGTGCACTGTCAGTACTATATAATATTGATGTGTCCAGGTGTATTGTCGGAAGAATGTGGTATATATCAAAGTGCACTGTCAGTACTATATAATATTGATGTGTCCAGGTGTATTGTCGGAAGAATGTGGTATATATGTGTCAAAGTGCACTGTCAGTACTATATAATATTGATGTGTCCAGGTGTATTGTCGGAAGAATGTGGTATATATGTGTCAAAGTGCACTGTCAGTACTATATAATATTGATGTGTCCAGGTGTATTGTCGGAAGAATGTGGTATATATGTGTCAAAGTGCACTGTCAGTACTATATAATATTGATGTGTCCAGGTGTATTGTCGGAAGAATGTGGTATATATATGTCAAAGTGCACTGTCAGTACTATATAATATTGATGTGTCCAGGTGTATTGTCGGAAGAATGTGGTATATATGTGTCAAAGTGCACTGTCAGTACTATATAATATTGATGTGTCCAGGTGTATTGTCGGAAGAATGTGGTATATATGTGTCAAAGTGCACTGTCAGTACTATATAATATTGATGTGTCCAGGTGTATTGTCGGAAGAATGTGGTATATATGTGTCAAAGTGCACTGTCAGTACTATATAATATTGATGTGTCCAGGTGTATTGTCGGAAGAATGTGGTATATATGTGTCAAAGTGCACTGTCAGTACTATATAATATTGATGTGTCCAGGTGTATTGTCGGAAGAATGTGGTATATATGTGTCAAAGTGCACTGTCAGTACTATATAATATTGATGTGTCCAGGTGTATTGTCGGAAGAATGTGGTATATATGTGTCAAAGTGCACTGTCAGTACTATATAATATTGATGTGTCCAGGTGTATTGTCGGAAGAATGTGGTATATATGTGTCAAAGTGCACTGTCAGTACTATATAATATTGATGTGTCCAGGTGTATTGTCGGAAGAATGTGGTATATATGTGTCAAAGTGCACTGTCAGTACTATATAATATTGATGTGTCCAGGTGTATTGTCGGAAGAATGTGGTATATATATGTGTCAAAGTGCACTGTCAGTACTATATAATATTGATGTGTCCAGGTGTATTGTCGGAAGAATGTGGTATATATGTGTCAAAGTGCACTGTCAGTACTATATAATATTGATGTGTCCAGGTGTATTGTCGGAAGAATGTGGTATATATGTGTCAAAGTGCACTGTCAGTACTATATAATATTGATGTGTCCAGGTGTATTGTCGGAAGAATGTGGTATATATGTGTCAAAGTGCACTGTCAGTACTATATAATATTGATGTGTCCAGGTGTATTGTCGGAAGAATGTGGTATACATTGTATATGTGTCAAAGTGCACTGTCAGTACTATATAATATTGATGTGTCCAGGTGTATTGTCGGAAGAATGTGGTATATATGTGTCAAAGTGCACTGTCAGTACTATATAATATTGATGTGTCCAGGTGTATTGTCGGAAGAATGTGGTATATATGTGTCAAAGTGCACTGTCAGTACTATATAATATTGATGTGTCCAGGTGTATTGTCGGAAGAATGTGGTATATATGTGTCAAAGTGCACTGTCAGTACTATATAATATTGATGTGTCCAGGTGTATTGTCGGAAGAATGTGGTATATATGTGTCAAAGTGCACTGTCAGTACTATATAATTATTGATGTGTCCAGGTGTATTGTCGGAAGAATGTGGTATATATGTGTCAAAGTGCACTGTCAGTACTATATAATATTGATGTGTCCAGGTGTATTGTCGGAAGAATGTGGTATATATGTGTCAAAGTGCACTGTCAGTACTATATAATATTGATGTGTCCAGGTGTATTGTCGGAAGAATGTGGTATATATGTGTCAAAGTGCACTGTCAGTACTATATAATATTGATGTGTCAGGTGTATTGTCGGAAGAATGTGGTATATGTGTCAAAGTGCACTGTCAGTACTATATAATATTGATGTGTCCAGGTGTATTGTCGGAAGAATGTGGTATACATTGTATATGTGTCAAAGTGCACTGTCAGTACTATATAATATTGATGTGTCCAGGTGTATTGTCGGAAGAATGTGGTATACATTGTATATGTGTCAAAGTGCACTGTCAGTACTATATAATATTGATGTGTCCAGGTGTATTGTCGGAAGAATGTGGTATATATGTGTCAAAGTGCACTGTCAGTACTATATAATATTGATGTGTCCAGGTGTATTGTCGGAAGAATGTGGTATATATGTGTCAAAGTGCACTGTCAGTACTATATAATATTGATGTGTCCAGGTGTATTGTCGGAAGAATGTGGTATATATGTGTCAAAGTGCACTGTCAGTACTATATAATATTGATGTGTCCAGGTGTATTGTCGGAAGAATGTGGTATATATGTGTCAAAGTGCACTGTCAGTACTATATAATATTGATGTGTCCAGGTGTATTGTCGGAAGAATGTGGTATATATGTGTCAAAGTGCACTGTCAGTACTATATAATATTGATGTGTCCAGGTGTATTGTCGGAAGAATGTGGTATATATGTGTCAAAGTGCACTGTCAGTACTATATAATATTGATGTGTCCAGGTGTATTGTCGGAAGAATGTGGTATATATGTGTCAAAGTGCACTGTCAGTACTATATAATATTGATGTGTCCAGGTGTATTGTCGGAAGAATGTGGTATATATGTGTCAAAGTGCACTGTCAGTACTATATAATATTGATGTGTCCAGGTGTATTGTCGGAAGAATGTGGTATATATGTGTCAAAGTGCACTGTCAGTACTATATAATATTGATGTGTCCAGGTGTATTGTCGGAAGAATGTGGTATATATGTCCAGTCAAGAATGTGCATATGTCAATGTACTATATAATATAATATTGATGTGTCCAGGTGTATTGTCGGAAGAATGTGGTATATATGTGTCAAAGTGCACTGTCAGTACTATATAATATTGATGTGTCCAGGTGTATTGTCGGAAGAATGTGGTATATATGTGTCAAAGTGCACTGTCAGTACTATATAATATTGATGTGTCCAGGTGTATTGTCGGAAGAATGTGGTATATATGTGTCAAAGTGCACTGTCAGTACTATGTAATATTGGTGTGTCCAGGTGTATTGTCGGAAGAATGTGGTATATATGTGTCCAGGAGCCCGAAGTGCAAGACTCGATGGTCCTAGATTCTTTGCTGTTGCTTTGAATCTATCTGTATCATGTCTTAGACTTGGAAGAAAGAAATGAGAAAATTGTGACTTGTACATTCCAGGATGGCAGCCATAGCAGACAGCGGTTTGTTGGAGAAATGGTGGAAACACTGGCAGAAGCCCCGGACGCCTGATATGTGTCCAGCGCCACCAGATGTCCACCCCATAATACTCAAGGACGTAATGGGCCCCGTGTACATCGCACTAGGGGGCGTGGCTGTAGCTGGCCTGTTCCTGCTTCTGGAGCTGCTCGTGCATCACGTGCATCTGCTCCAAACCGGAAGTCAAGTGGACAAAACACCTATGTGATTTAGACTGACTGAAAGTTATGAAGATATCAGCTGTAGATGACGTGTATGTGTGTTGTTGAGGACACCTGGTCTTGCATCTGTATTGCTTAGTAATGCTAATGTACAGGTCCTGTACGCCATGCCCACATTCGCCATTGTAGTACTGGAGCAAAGGGAGATCACTGTTGTTGGAGATCGTGAAAACACCACGAAGTCAAAAGGAATAACAAGAAACAGTGCTTATATGCTTTGATTCTCATATCCCTCACTTTGACGGTGTGCTACTTAAAAAAGAAAGCGTATACTGACTCAAATGAACATCATTTCTCGTCATTGAATGGCTATTGAATAAATGCATATTTATATAACATTTGATCCCTGTAGGTGAGGTGAGGTGAAATTGGGTTAAACGTCGCGCTGGAGAATATTTCGCTCATATGACGACGTACATGCGTGTGTATGTGTATGTGCGGCTGCTTGTACTAGCCCAGACTGAAGCTGGTTTTATAGTGCTAGCCCACTGAGATACCATGCCGCAGTGAAGCATGAATACCCCACTCAGACACATTATACTGACTCCGAGCCGACCAGTCCTTGTTGTATCCATTAATGCCGAGCGCCAGGCAGGTACCAACAAGTACCATATTTTAACGTCTTTTGGTATGACGCGGTCGGGGATCGAACCCGCGACCTTCCGCTCTCCGGGCGGACGCTCTAACCACTACACCACGGAGGCGGTCTTGATCCCCGTAGGAGGCAGAATGGACAAATAGAAATGCTAATGTCAGCGACATGTATGGAAAGGAATACACATTGCTTTTAAAAGTGGTCAGATGTAACAGATGTTATATTTGGGGTAACACCTTCTCAGTACGTGTGGGGTGTAGAATGTGTACTGAAGTTAGTGTAATCCTAGATCTAACATTTGTCATATATATGGAAACGTGTGATGACAATACAGAGATAGACCTCCCTGTAATAAAGTAACACACATATTTAAACATTGAAATTAGTACAAAATGAACGCGACTTGAAAACAAAAGCATTTGTACGAAATTATTTAATTTACAAATTTACGATTTCATTATTCGTTTTTACTGCCAGAGGGAACAATAAGGGGAAAAGGTTTTACAAAGCGACAAACCCCTTTCCATATTTATAAGCCAGGTGAGCGTGCCACACGTGTGTGTGCGTGCGTGCGTGCGTAGAGGATGGACACGACTCCTGAATATTTTTTCCGTGGTTTATGTAGATTCCTAAATTGTATTCGTCCCTATTTGATAATTCTGGAAGTTATCATATTTGTGAACAGCTCAACAAAAGAAAGTGTACAGTTGAAAATTGACTGAATATAACATTACAAACGTTATGAAGGTCACTAGACTAAAACGCGGCTTAGGGCCCAAGACATGACCATGATTACATTATGAAATACATGACATTTGAATAACCATTTCAGTTTTGTCTTATTTTTTTGCTACCATCAAACATTAGAATATACTGAGGTGGACGCTGAATCGTGGGCCGGGTTTGGTTATATTCCTGTAATGTCAAAGTGACTGAAACAGAAACCTGTGAACACCGTGGTCCGCTGTGTTTCTGATACAGTACGCTAATCTAGTCCAAAGTGAGCGACCCCAAGTAGACGCTGTCTGGACGGAGTCTGTATTGGATTATAATGATCGTTTACTGGTGAATGGTCGGCGTATTTCTCAGCCTTGTCATCCTGTCAATACACAACTATCAAGATTCTAACTCGTATCAACGCCCTTTATTAAACAACACAGGTAGGGGGAAGTGTTGAATGGTGTGGTTTCTACCACGTACATTTGAAACTCGCCAACTCAGCACTGAGTGGTGCCTTGCATGAGTAGAAATGTTTGGTGATGACCTCACACGGTGTCTTCTTGTGCAGACAGACGTCGAGGAAGCAGTCGGTCATGGTGCTGATGAGTTCGCGGGCCGTTAGGTCGCGTGCAAGGCAGTCTTCTCCGACGTCGGTGAAGACGTACTGGCCGCAGATTAAGGTGGCAATGTCTTCATCCGAGACATCCTGGCAGTAAGAAGTGAAGTCGTCGTGAAGCTGCTGACATTCACTGAAAAAGACAGAAAACAATACCAGTTTAGCAGAAAAGAGCTGACTACATACTTCCACTACCAACACTACTAACACAGGGGTACATCGTCGTCTTGTGCAAGGTCTTGGTAAGAGGTCATCATCAATATCTACCATTGCAACTTTAGGATTATAGGTCACTAATTGGGTATATCGATAAATGTAAATGTAACATCTGTGATGATCTTTTATCAATATCTGAAAAGTATAATCTAAATACGTATTTTGACAAATATATTGCTAAAGGCATATTTCCTCCAAAACGTGTATGGAGAAGAATTGTAAATGCTACTGTACATAGTTATGAAGAACAATTATGGCGATCACAAACTCTCTATCGTTCAAACATGTCATTTTACGCAACAACTCATACTACACTCTCTTACCATACTCTCTGGCAACTGGCATATAAACACCCTAATTATAAATCTTCCTTGCAATTTTGTGTCAAAATATTATCAAGAGGTAAAATCTCAAAAGAGTGTGCTCTTTGTAATAAACAAACATTTGACTATGATTTCCACATGCTTCTCCACTGTGAAAACTTAATACAACAACGAAATGATTTCTTTGCATACTTAATTGATAAACTTGATGTTGAAACTTACGTAATACTTGAAATGCAAGGTGAACAAGATATGTTGTCATTTCTCTTCGGAGCAGAAAACGTCTTTTACAACTATAGATTCAACACTATGGGAAACCATTCTGTTACGCTTTGTGAACTGTTATACAGAATGAATTTCTTCAAGTCATGAATTTCTGTACATATGTCTCTAAACATCCAATCGTTAATATTCATGTACATGTTGTAATAATATGATGTTTTTGTTTGTAATCTTCGGTAACTACCTGAGGAAATAAAGACTCTCTCTCAGGCCCCACCTCTACACGCAACTCAGACACCGAATGGGACTTCTCCCAGGAAGCGCTGCCTAGTTGAACTCTACAAGAACTTTCCGGAGAATATGTAGGCTCCCAACACTGCAGCCTTCTGCATTACCCAGAGTGTCAGAAGGGCTGTGCTCTCGGTGGAGAACCCAGGCACTCTGCTGATCTGCCCCTAGAGATCAGGAGGTACCAAACCAAGAACTCAGAGAACAATGGGGAGTCTGACGCCAGTGTGCTTTGGATGCAAGCGAGACATTTCAAAGGCGAGGTCTGCATATTTAGCATGCCTTTTCTGAATCTTACCAATCAAATTACCGTCAAAAGGGACAGAAAATTCATAATTATTATTATTATTATTATTATGTTTTACAGATTAAAGATGAAGATGCAGCAGAGAGGGTTCGGGTGATCCTATTATTATTATTATTATGCTACTTGCCACTTCTGCTTTTACTGCCACTACTTCAATATAGAGTCGCCCTGAACACACAACCATACTTAGATGTAGAGTTCTTTGTCGTCACAACCCGATTTCGATATAGACTCACGCAGTCGTCACATCCAGACTTCGGTATAGGCCTTGTGGTTACAGCGCAGATCCGGGTTCGATTCCACTCATACTGTGGAAAACCAATCGCTGGTGGGACCGCATCCCCCCACCCCAATTTATTTTATTACCTATTACCTTTGCCAGTATTTGTGTCGGTACCAAGTACAAATACTTTTGTGTCTTTGTCGGTACCAGTAGATATGTCAGTATCACACTGCCAGCCATGCCAGTGCCAGTATTTCTTACACACCTGTGGGTGAGAAACCCATGTGATAAAACTGGTATCACACATATGTGTGAGATCGATGTCTAATCCCGTGATTGGCGACTCCATGGTGATGACCTAGGGTCAGGTTATGACGGACTACTTTCCTGATTAAAATTCATTGATAAGTTACTTGGGCTTCAATCGAACAGAAACCTGTTACTCGTGCAAAAAATTACCCCTTAACACCTACCTGTTATTTTCACGATTGTAACATAAACTGGTATGTATACAATGAAACACAATTAGAATAAATATAACACGAATCTATTTATTTTCTAATTCCTTTTATTAACACTTAGATTTCCAGTCATGAATTCAAAATGGCTCGAACAATCAGTGATACCTGTGTAAACAATTATGTGAAAATCGCCGTTAGAAATATAGACCGAGATTCCCTTCGAATATTCAAAATGTACAACAGTGGTACTTTTACTGGAGAGATGCGACACGTGTCATGTATCGTCTTGCAAAAATACCTAACACGATAACGCCAGTGCCTTTCCATTGTGAGATCGATTTGCCACATGGCCTCTTCGATGAATTGATGAAGATGACATATTTCACTGATACAGTATGATGAAGACCCACTTCCAACTTCGAGCTACTATGCGATTCAAATTCACTCATGACAATCAGCACAAAAACACAATGTATGCTAGGCTTCATGAGTGCAAATGGCGGCACACGTCCTTTCTATTCAATCGGACATGTACAGGAACAGTTGATCTACACATAAATCATTGCTCAAGATATTCCTCCGACGCATGATAATGCAAAGTTTATGTCTTGATAACATACAGGATGTAATCAACTCACATTTCATACTGACAACTCCGTAAATGTCGTTACATTCCAAGTGGCAGTTTCTGGCTCGGGAAAACGAGAAGGATGTGGCGAAGAAGAGTAGAGTCCCTCATTGACAGTGAACGTAACCTCAGCAATGTCACATTCAAGCACATTGGGTGCACCTAATTACACACACTCAATAGTTTTGGCTCCGGTCTATGGGAGAACATTGAACAGAAAATGGTACACAAGTACAGATCCCCAATGTGCAGAGATATCCGAAACAATCTTCCGATGACGACAACCACCAAGCGATAACGATGACGTCACATGCTCAAATATTTTTTGCTTGCAAGAATTAAAATCATCCAAATTTGCACGGTAACATCATCGTTTTAGAGTGTTTAATTAACTTTCTGTGATGTTATCTAGTTTTCACTATTGCCTTTATGATGCGAAGAGGTGGCAGAAACTTTTTTGTGGAGGGTCACCATAGGGATGAATAGTGATTAGGAAGCCAGGTGACGTCACTCATTCATAAACGTTGTGTTGTGTATTATTGCGCAGCTACGATGAGAAAATATGAAATTTGAATGTATTCGACCATAAAATGGTGCGATTTTATGGTGTGTAAGAAACAGATTACTGTACTCGTGTCTGTCAGATACCATTTATCTTACAACTCGTTGTTTCGAAACGTATTTAACTCGCTTTCGCTCGTTAAATACGTTTTGAAACGACTCGTTGTAAGATAAATGGTATCTGACAGACACTTGTTTAGTAATCTCTATTGATCTAATGACCACTATCAGTATCGGTGGCAGTGAAGTAGATTATACGTCTAAATAACACGTCAAAACTCGCTTCGTAAAATCAGTATGATAGATACACCATCATAATAATGATATCCATTATCAAGACTTAGGCAGGGTGGATATGGCGTCAACAATGTTAGAGTGTGACGTCATCATCTTCTATGACGTAACTGAATTCAACGTCAAGAACAATGTGTTTTCTTCAACATTGTGTCGACGTTACGACAACAGTGTTATACACGACATGAATCCATCATGGAGAGATATCTGTTATTTACTTACTTAGGACCATGTCAATAACAGTGAAGTTTCACGTTGTTTAAGACAGCGGAGACGAACCTGTATTTAGAGTTGATATTCATAATGGACATCACCAGGGTGTCCTGCTTGACCGTCAAGTTGTACCTCTCGGCTTGCTGTGTCAAGGTCATCGCGGGGTCAGATGTCGGCAGCATGGAACCCTTGTAGAGATTTTTCGACTTTGGGATGTCGATTACGAGGGATGGGTTGGCGGAATGGTACTTGATCACCGTGGAACACTCCGGGATTTGTATGTCGACCAAACCAGACTCCGTCTTGTAGGTCACGGGGAGGTCGTTCTTCCGAAACTCCTGGAATCACATTATTGAATGACAACAACAACAAAAACAACACCAAAGTTACATTGACAACGACGACGACAATGATGATATAAACAAAAAGAGCAAAATCAGCATCGAAAAAGAGGAAAAACAAAAATGCAACACAAGCGAAATTAAGAAGGTGAAGGATAGATGATGGTAATAGCAACTATCATCATTATAGATGATGATGTCACGACGCCAGGATGACTTCAGATACACCTACTACTATATCTACCAATAATATGATACCATTAGTGATGATGTCTGAATATTTTCTTGGACATGAGTTTTGTTTCCAACTGGATGTGTGAGTGCATGTTCCCAAAGACTAATATCTCCGCTACATCACAGCGGCCACAATGGTCCATGATAGGTGTGTCTGCCATAGGTATATACACTGAAGATCAGTCATAGCAACTGACTACTGAAGCACTTGGTGCTGGCATCCAGATGGAACTGTTCATATCCCAAGTCCATCTATGCTTCTTGATACCTTTATTTTAATCTTTTCCACATTCACTTATAACTGCCATTTATGACCAGGTTTAGATTTATCCAACCTCCTCTCCAAACCTCCAACTGTACTTTCAGTTAATGCCACATCGTCGGCCAAAACTAACATACATATTTGCAGAGTACCCATCTCTATACATATCTGCCATCTTCTCCCATGAGGTAAAGAACACCATGTTGTATAAAGACAAGAGGCGTAGAGGTATTTGGCACCTTGGCGTACACCAAACATACAGCAAAACACGGTAACACAGTCGTTATGAAACGAAATAGTTTACCCTTAACATCTGAGGTCTATAATTTATCTGGACGACCACGTCTAAACACCAAATCAAACGCAGCCAGAAGATACACAAAGCCACAATAAACTCTACCTTCATGAATATGTATTATACCAACACACTATCTGAGGCGTGACACCCACTTGCTCCGGAATCAGAAACTGTCCAGGCAAGCAACCTATTACAAATATCCTTAGAACATGGTTTCCCTGCTACCTGTTACAAGTAAATGTCAATGAGTCAATGAGGTATCTCTCTCTCTCTCTCTCTCTCTCTCTCTCTCTCTCTCTCTCTCTCTCTCTCTCTCTCTCTCTCTCTCTCTCTCTCTCTCTCTCTCTCTCTCCTCTCTCTCTCTCTCTCTCTCTCTCTCTCTCTCTCTCCTCCTCTCTCTCTCTCCCTCTCTCTCTCTCCTCTCCCTTCTCTCTCCCTCCCTCTTTCTCTCTCTCTCTCCCCCCTCTCTCTCTCTCTCTCCTCCCCTCTTTCTCTCTCTCTCTCTCTCTCTCTCCTCTCTCCCTCCCTCTCTCTCTCTCTCTCTCTCCTTCTCTCTCTCTCTCTCTCTCTCTCTCTCTCTCTCTCTCTCTCTCTCTCCTTCCCTCTCTCTCTCTCTCTTTCTCTCTCTCTCTCTCTCTCTCTCTCTCTCTACGCACCACTTCGTCGTTCACAAGCATGCGGGTTTCGTTGCTGCCCTTCTTCATGATGACTTCTATCCCGTTGATGAAGGTGCGCGAGATCCTCTTGACGGTGTCCAGGTCGGGGCCATTGGCGTACACTGATATGTAGCAGTCCCCGGGAATGTCCCCGGTCAGCACCCTGTGTCCACATGGGGTGGGGAAACGGTAGTTCTCGTCGGGAATCAGACTATGCACCAGCGGGTCGCCATACTCAATACCAACCAGTCTGTCAGCTGGAAGAGTAAACCCAAACTGAACTGAGACATGCTTCAACTGTGGGCGGTCTTCCACACTGACCTGACACGGTATGATTTAACTTGGGTACACAAAGAAGCATTATATTGAAATAAACACCTACCCTTTTCATAGCAGTAAAACCTTCCATCGCCATTAGGGAGGCTCTCGGGACATATGCAAACGCCTGACTCACACGTTGCTTCCGCCACGCACTCCGAGGCGGAACACAGGTATGCTGGAATGAGGATGATCAGATGATACATGTCTCCCAACCACACAACATCTATATATCACATGCATACAGATAAACAACACACCAGGTATATATTACATGTCTCCCAACCACACAACATCTATATATCACATACATACAGATATACAACACACCAGGTATATATTACATGTCTCCCTACAACACATGATCTATATATCACATGCATACAGATATACAACACACCAGGTATATATTACATATCTCCCTACAACACAGCAGGTATATATTACATGTCTCCCTACCACACAACATCTATATATCACATGCATACAGATATACAACACAGCAGGTATATATTACATGTCTCCCTACCACACATCATCTATATATCACATGCATACAGATATACAACACAGCAGGTATATATTACATGTCTCCCTACCACACAACATCTATATATCACATGCATACAGATATACAACACAGCAGGTATATATTACATGTCTCCCTACCACACAACATCTATATATCACATGCATACATATATACAACACACCAGGTATATATTACATGTCTCCCTACCATACAGCAGGTATATATTACATGTCTCCCTACAACACATCAGGTATAAATAACATGTCTCCCAACCACACAGCAGGTATATATTACATGTCTCCCTACAACACAGCAGGTATATATTACATGTCTCCCTACAACACATCAAGTATATATTACATGTCTCCCTACAACACAGCAGGTATAAATTACATGTCTCCCAACCACACAGCAGGTATATATTACATGTCTCCCTACCACACATCAGGTATATATTACATGTCTCCCTACAACACAGCTGGTATAAATTAAATGTCTCCCTACAACACAGCAGGTATAAATTACATGTTTCCCAACCACACAGCAGGTATACATAGGGCGGATCCAGAGGGTGCAAGGGTGCACCCCTTTTGTCATGAAAGTTTATTAAATGACCATTAAAACTCGGGTGAAAATGAAGTGTGCACCCTCTCTTTTCTCAATAGTGTGCACCCCCCCTTTCTCAAAAAGCTGTATCCGCCCCTTGGTATATATTACATTTCTCCCTACCACAGAGCAGGTATATATTACATGTCTCCCTACAACACATCAGGTATATATTACATGTCTCCCTACAACACAGCAGGTATAAATTAAATGTCTCCCTACAACACAGCAGGTATATATTACATGTCTCCCTACCACACAGCAGGTATATATTACATGTCTCCCTTCCACACAGCAGGTATATATAACATGTCTCCCTACAACACAACAGGCATATATTACATGTCTCCCTACAACACAGTAGGTATATATTAAATGTTTCCCTACTACACAACAGGTATAGATATCATCTCTCCCTACAACACAGTAGGAACATATTAAATGTTTCCCTACAACACAGCAGGTATACATTACATGTCTCCTTACTACACAACAGGTATATAATACATGTCTCCCTACTACACAGCAAGTATATATTACATGTCTCCATATCACACAGCAGGTATATATTACATGTCTCCCTTCCACACAGCAGGTATATATTATATGTCTCCCTACCACACAGCTGGTATATATTACATGTCTCCCTACCACACAGCAGGTATATATTACATCTCTCCCTACAACACAGCATGCATATATTACATGTCTCCCTACCACACAACAGGTATATATTACATGTCCCCTTAAAACACTGCAGTTATTTTTTACGTGTCTCCCTACCACACAGCAGGTATATATTACATGTCTCCTTACAACACAGCAGTTATAACTTAGATGTCTCCCTACAACACAGCAGGTATACATTACATGTCTCCCTACAACACAGCAGGTATATATTACATGTCTCCCTTCCACACAACAGGTATATATTCCATGTCTCCCTACCACACAGCAGGTATATATTACATGTCTCCCTACAACACAGCAGGTATAAATTACATGTCTCCCTACAACACAGCAGGTACATATTACATGTCTCCCTACAACACAACTCATATATATTACGTTTCTCCTACAACACAATACATATATATTACATGCATCCTTACAACAACTGATTAAAATATCTTCTGAAATATCTAACCTTAATGAGATATTATACCCTGCTTGTTTGATTCTACTTCTATATTAGACAAACTGTGGGTTCATCAAAATTAGATGTAATCACTTTGGTGTTAGGGAAAATATTGTGTAAAGCAGTATGTGTTTGGGACATTAATAACCCGTGTTGCCAATTGCCCTGGTTATAGTAGACGTATTGGAAAGTATTCAGTATGCCATGTTTACCGTGTTGACTGTGTGGCACTGTACTCTCTATCTGCACCGCCGCACGTCATTGTACTCTCTATCTGCACCGCCGTACGTCAATATACTCTCTAACTGTGCCGCCACACGTCATTGTACTCTCTATCTGCGCCGCCGCACGTCGTCATTGTACTCTCTATCTGCGCCGCCGCACGTCATTGTACTCTCTATCTGCACCGCCGTACGTCATTGTACTCTCTAACTGCGCCGCCGCACGTCATTGTACTCTCTAACTGCGCCGCCGCACGTCATTGTACTCTCTATCTGCGCCGCCGCACGTCATTGTACTCTCTATCTGCGCCGCCGCACTCATTGTATCTCTATCTGCGCCGCCGTACGTCAATATACTCTCTAACTGTGCCGCCACACGTCATTGTACTCTCTATCTGCGCCGCCGCACGTCATTGTACTCTCTATCTGCACCGCCGTACGTCATTGTACTCTCTAACTGCGCCGCCGCACGTCATTGTACTCTCTAACTGCGCCGCCGCACGTCATTGTACTCTCTATCTGCACCGCCGTACGTCATTGTACTTTCTAACTGCGCCGCCGCACGTCATTGTCCTCTCTAACTGCGCCGCCGCACGTCATTGTCCTCTCTATCTGCGGTATCACTGAGCGAGCGCTGTGGGCGAGTCGCAGTGTGTACAGCTCGGCTCGGGTTGTACAGCCGACTAGCTGGCTGGCTGGCCAGTGGCACGTCGATCGCAAAATGGCAATGGTGGTCAGCGGAATCGCGGTTGGACTGTGCCTCATTTGGTTAAAAATTCCCGAGCCAGACCCGCCACAGAGACGACGAAAGCCCACAGGTTTTGACCAAGCCACGTGACGGTTTTCGACAAAAAGCCTAACAACCAGGAAACGATACTGCCGAAATGCTAGGCAGCGCTTCAGCAGCTTTGCCGGCTAGTTTAGCCAGAACTTCGCCGAGAGATTTCAAATGTTTTTTTTATCCAGTCTCTGATGTCGGGGCTTGTTGGTGTTGGGCTTGGTGTACCACCACCGCCCGTCAGCGACACGACCAGGGTCGATATGATGAAGCCCAAAGCCGTGAGAACGCCGGCTACGGTTATTCCTTGTTCCCGGAACAGAATTTGGATCCTGTCGGCCAACGTGGTGTCTTCGTTCAAGACTCTGTCGATGATTTCGCGCACGCGGCTGATTTGTGATCGGAGGACTTCCAGGTTGGAGGAAGCAGCTTCCAATCTGGTCCGTCTCTCGTCTTCCAGGTTGCGCAATCTTTTCTTGATGTTTTTCATGGTGTACGTCAAAATCGTCCATGGGAATATCGTCCGCCATTTTTATATATTAAACTTATAATATACATAGTTTCAATATAAACAATGTCGCATTATGGACGAAAGCTAGATCCTGGCCGAAAATAGAGAGAGCCACTAGGTGTCAAAGCCGTGCGTCAGTCGTTGACCATCACCAACAATCCGAACAAAGGCTACATGCTCGAAGTGGACTTGGACTATCCCGCAGAACTACACGAATCGCACAACAGCTATCTACTAGCTCCCGAACGATTGACGGTGAACCCAGACTGGATGTCTGAATATCAACGAAACTTGCTGGGAGACAATAAGCTGGCTAACTTCGAAAAACTTGTGCCGAACTTGATGAACAAGACAAAATACGTGGTTCACTATCATAATCTGCAGCTGTACTTGTCGCTTGGAATGAAACTCATGAAAATACACAGGGCGCTCCGATTGATCAAAGTACATGGATGGAGCCTTACATTCGGTTGAACACGAATCTGCGAAAACAAGCCACGAGCAACTTCGAAAAAATCTTGCTCATGAACAACTCGGTGTTCGGCAAGACGATGGAGAATTTGAGAAAACGTGTTAATGTGAAATTAGTCAGATCCAGTGAGGAAGATAAACTCAAGAAACTGATCGCTAGCCTGGCGTTCAACCGAAGCAAGATATTTGATGACAACTTGGCAGCGCTGCACATGAACAAAAGCCACATCAAATTCAACCGGCCTGTTTACGTGGGGATGAGCATCCTCGAATTATCCAAACACTTGATGTAAGATTTCTACTACAATGAGCTGAAAAAGCAGTAGGGCGACAGGTGCGAAGTGTTGTACACGGACACGGATTCCCTGCTGATGGAAATTCACACCTAGGACGTATACGAAGACATGAAGAAACACATGCACCTGTACGACACCAGCGACTACCCTAAAGATCACCCTATGCACAGCAAAGTCAACAAAAAAGTGCTCGGCAAGATGAAGGACGATCGCCTAGTACGTCGGTTTGAGACCCAAGATGTATTCCATCAAGAAAGCTGACGACAACGAAATCCGACAGGTGAAAGGTGTGAAAAAACACGTGGTGAAAAAACACATCAAGTACGCCAGATTCAAGGAAGCCCTGTTCAAGAATAAAACGTTCAAACACCAAATGAACATGTTGAGCAGTGACGGACACAGGATATACGGACTGAGAATAAACAAGACGTAGCTGTCTCCCATGGACACGAAACGATGGATCGCCATCGATGGAGACGTCGGCAAAGCTTGGCTTAAAAAACAAGCCATCTGGCAAGTTTACCTGCCGGCGCCTCGGTACATACCGAGAAAGACAAGAAAATCGACATTTCAAAGCTGAATCGCGTTCACCAAGCCGACCTCCTCTTTCTACCTCATGAGGCTT